TCTTGATTATATATATATTATTATATATATATATATATATATATGATATATGTTTGATATATACATATAAATATGCATTGAAGGCGAGTGGCCTACCATGGAAGCCGAACAATCGCCTTATCAAGCCATTAACTAAGTCCCGCGGGAGCGACAGCGCTCATCTAACGTCTACTGCTGGTTGACTCTCTGTTCGGTGGAGTGCTGGAGATTCTAGTATAAACGACTGTTGCCTGTTTAGTCCGCTAATATGTGTTCACGATACCAACGCCCGGAAACGTGGAAGGCACTGGGCATGGTAATTAGAACCTTCTCAAAAGGCCCTGGCTAATAATACCTTAGGTACCGTATAACGTTATACCTAAGTTATAAGGTATAAGGTATAAGCTACTTAACCTTATACCTAAGATATTATTAGCTCTTGATATATATATATATATATGTTATGAATGCTACGGCTTGTGGACATGGCATAACGGCATTTGGGCAAAAAATCTGTTTGCTGATCTAAATTCTATGTTTCAATCTTACATTTCATTACCGTTTCTCCCTGACCTCCTCCCACCGCTTCCAGCGACCCGCTGCGAAAAAGCAATGTGATGACAGATACGACCTTCCTAACTAATTTGTAAACATTGTTTTTCGGATTCCTCATGCTATGACCTTTCCAAAAATGTATAGGTTTGCTAATCTACCATATTTCTGAACGAAAAAACATAGTGAACCTGACTATAAACTAAACCAGTAACCATGGTGTTGTGTGCAGTAAGGTATACAGCACAGGTAGGTCCCATTTTACGATTTTTTACATTAACGATCTTTTCAAAATTACATAAAAAAAATAATTTAAAAAAAAAGTCGCAACTCAATAACACGTCGCAGCAACGCTTGTGAGTCCAAACGAGCAATATGTGCTTCTTTTGTTTTTCGTGGTGCATTGTGGCTGAAATGATTTCCATTTTACGCCCATGTTTTACTGGAACCTAACCCTGTCGTAAAATCGTACCTACCTGAACTGCCATCGTTCGCTCGCACGACGTCGCATTGTTTGCGTCCGACGCGGTTAGCACAGGTCGTGCGACGCCGGAAAGGACTACGTCACTGTTCGCTTGTTTTCTTGCATGTCGTTGCGCCGCCCACCAGGAGGCATGAGCGTAAGTTTCAAAACGCGCTACTGGCGTTCGGTCTCTGAGACGCCTCACACCCACAGCTCGACCGAAGACGACATGCCGAGACTCAGCTATGGTGGGTGAACATGGCTTCTCCTCCCCCCTGCTTCTAGCCCCTTTTCCCCTGCCCTATCTCACCTTTACTCCTACCCCTCCTGCCCCTGCCCTACCTCACCTCTATTCCAACTCCTACTTTTCTGCCCTACCTCACATCTATTCCAACCCCTCCCCTGCCCTACCTCACCTCTATTCCAACCCATCCTCACCCTGCCCTACCTCACCTCTATTCCTACCCCTCCTCCCCTACCTCACCTCTATTAAAACCCCTCCTCCCCTGCCCTACCTCACCTCTATTAAAACCCCTCCTCCCCCGCCCTACCTCACCTCTATTAAAACCCCTCCTCCCTAAATATTACGCCTAACTTAACCTCTATTTTACAACCCCGTCTCCCCTCCCTACCTCACTCTAATTCGCAACCCTCCCCCTGCCCTACCTCACTCCTAATTCCAAACCCCTCCCTGCCCTTACCTCACCTCTATTAAAACCCCTCCTTCCGCTCGAACATACCTCGAACCTCTAATTAAACCGCTCCCCCCCCCGTCCTCCTTCCTCTATTCTAACCCCTCCTCCCCCGCTCTCTCACCTCTATCCATCCTCTCTTTTCCTACCTCACTCTATTCCACGACCCTCCTCCCACCTGCCCTACGTCACCTCTATTCCTCCCTCCTGCCCCGCCATAACCTCTCTATTCACCCCTCCCCATGCCTACCTTCACCTCAATATTAAAACCCCTCCTCCCTCCGCCCTAACCTCACCTCTTCCAACCCTCCTCCCCCGGCCCTACCTCACCTTTATTAAACCCCTTCCTCCCCTGCCCTACCTCTCAATCATTAATTACCAACCACTTACTTCCACCTGCCCTACCTATCATCTATTCCAACCCCTACCTCCCCATGCCCCTTACACTCACTCATACTTCCTACCTCTCATTCCTCATACCTACACCTCTCATTAAACCCCTACCCCGCCCTACCTCTCTTCTATTCCATGAACCCTCCCGCCCTCCTCACCTCTATTTAAAAACCTCCATCCCCCATCCTACCTCTCTATTTTTACCCTTCCTCCCCCTACCCTACCTACGCCTCTATCCTACCTCCTCTTTCTCCCTACCTCACCATCTATTTAAAACGCCTCCTCCCGCTCTACCTCACCTCGTATTCCAAACGCTCTCTTTCACCTTAACCTCACCTCTATTAAACCACCTCCTCCCCCCGACTTACCTCACCTCTATTTCCAACTCTCTATTATTCCCTACCTCAACCTCCTATTCAACCCTACCTCCCCTGTCTCCCTACCCTCACCTCTATTTACCTCCTCCCCTACGCTCACCTCTATAACATCCAACCCCTTCTTACCGCGCCGCACCTACCTCACCTCTATTCCAAACTCTCTTCTATCCTACACTCACCTATACATATTCCAACTCCTCCTCCCCTCTCCCTACCTCAACCTCCCTAAAATTCCCTCCTCTCCTGCCCTACACCACCTCCTATTCCTACCCATCTCATTCCCCTACCTCACCTCTATTAACCCTCCTATCCCCGCCTACCTTCTCTATTCCAGCCCCTCCTCCCCGCCCTTCTTTCCTCTATTCCACGCCCCTCCTCCCCGCACCTTACCTTTCCTCTATCTCAACCCCTCCTCCCCCATACGCCCTACCTCATATTTATTAAAACCCCTCCTCCACCCGCCCTACCTCACCTCTAATTAAACCCTTCTGCCTCGCCTCCTCTCCATCTACTTCCAACCCTCCCGTCCTACTACTATCTAATTAAACCCCTCCTCCCCCCCGCCTACCTCACATTCTATTAAGCCCCTCCTCCCACCGTCTACCTCTCCTCAATATCTAACCCCTACCTCCCCATGCACCTACAGCACCTCTATTCCTAACTCTTTCTTCCTCTACCTCACTCTATTAAAACCTCTCCTCCTGCTTCTACCTACCTCTTATTCCAACTCATCTTTCCTACCTACACTCTTTCCACCTCCTCCCCCTTTCGCCCTACCTCCCTCTATTCCAACCCTCCTACCCCACGCCCTACTCGCCTCTATTCCAACCTCCTCCCCTACCTCACCTCCTATTTAAAACCCCTTCCTCTCCTCCGCCCTACCATAACTCTATTAAAAACCCGCTCCATCCCCCTGCCCTACCTCGCACTCTATTCCTACTCTCTTCCCTTACCTCACCTATTAAAAACCCTTACTATCTACT